GTGCTTAACGAACCTGGTGATGGGCTACTTGTTTTACATTATAACCATTTTGCGAGGTATATGAGCAAAATGAATTGGTGTTTAATAAGAAACTAGTGGATGCTACCTCTTCGTAATGCAATTGGAATTCCAAGCCGAAACTAATAAATCGGGGACAAAATTCTCTCTTTGCCAACAACGTTAATCGTGAGTAAGACATTTGTTATAAAGAGATAATGATTTTTTGTAGTAAAATCAAGTATTATAATCATATCACGACCAGTTTATAATACATATAAAAAGTAACGAGAGTTACGAGCTCTGCATCATATTTGAAGTTTGAACTTGATATACTATGTTTAACAAATACGTAGCACCCGGAAAGGAGGAGGAAAAAAAAAAAAGCCACGTCAACAGGCCCGGTCAGCAGTCCCGGCCAACCAGGACCTGTCACGTGGCAATACCACGTCGTTCCAAAAAGGGCCACATTGGCGATCCGCGTGGGCGCGATCGGACGGCCCAGATCAAGCGGGCGATCAGACGGCCCAGATTTAATCGCACGGACGGCCCAGATTAAAACAAAATGGACGGCTGAGATCAAAGGGCAAGGGGTTATAAATAGAACCCCCACACCAGACCACAAACCCTAGCCGCCTGCCGCTCGCCGGAGAAGACGAACCAGAAGCCGACCGCCGCCACCCGCCGCCGCACCGGAGGAACTTCTGACCGCCGATCGAGGTAAATTTCGTACCCCCGACTCGTTTTTCCACGCTGATTCCTCCTGTGGCCAAATCGGAGCTAAAATCTCGGCCAAACGGCCGGAATACACGGCCGAAGCCCAGCGGCACCGCCGCACCCCTTCTCGGTTTTTGCCTCCGATGAGGCCCTTCCCGGCCTCCGTTTGATGCAATTTTTATATCACCGTGATCACCATTCTTTTCTCTACAGGTTGACCGGAGCCGAATCACCAAAACACGAACCTCGCCGGAGAGCCGCCGCACCCGAGAGCGCCGCCGCCGGTAAGCTCCGTTTTTCCGTGATTTTTTGGCCCCCCGAGGGCCCTAGGGTTGTTTTCTCACAGGGACCGATGCGAGTGTGGCCGAATTCGGCCGAAAACAGCCAACCCGAGGCGACTCGCCGCCGCTAGCGGCGGCGCC